AAAACGTGGGCCAGGCTATGGTAAACTGGGGGAACCTTAGTTAAATCGATATCATCGGGGGGTTCCCTCCCTTTAACGGGAGTAGAGACAGCCGTTTTAAGACAGGACATTAAACAATCCTTGCTCCAACTCTCTAAACGACGTTCTGACCAATTAAAAATGGGGTTGTGTTTGGTGAGCCAGGGATACCCAAAAGTTAACTGAGATATGGGTGAATCAAAGACAAGAAACTCACCCAGCTCATGATGATTGCCAGAGACAACAACGTGAAGATCCGAGACCTTGTGAGTGATTTGGGCAAGATGTTGTCCAGTTAGCCCTGTGATGGAGCGAGATGAGGTGAGTGGTACGGTGGGGAGTTGGAGTTGTTCCATGTCTCTGGAGATCAGACTTTGTTCTGCACCAGAATCGATAAGAGCAGAAACGGGCAATTTAATTTGATCATGAAGTATGGTAGCAGGTACAGACAGAAGCGAGGCAGGGGAGATTTGGGATGAACTCGGCGGCGTCCCCTGTTTTACTGCCGAGCTGGTCCGTTTCCCCGTACAGGACAAGTGGCGACAAAGTGTCCCTTGTTACCGCAGTAGATGCAGACCTTTGTGGCATATCGTCTCTTGTCTTTCCTCAGGAGATAGTCGGGTCCTCCCCACCTGCATCGGTTCAGGTTCAGACTCGGGCGATGAGGAAGTTCTAGTGTTGTTATTCTCGGTTGACCAAAAAAAAACATGCTGAGGATTATGGGTAACGTAGTTTCTTTCCTTTCTACGTTCCTTTATTCTGTTGTCGATGCGGATAGAGAGAGCGATTATTTCATCCAAGCTCCCGGGTTCATCCCGGGAGGCAAGCTGGTCCTTTATGTTCTCATTTAAAGAATTAATATATGTACCTCTTAATGCTAGTTCGTCCCATCCAGCCTCCTCAGCCACAATATGAAAGTCCACAGAGTGATCGGCTGCCGACTTACTTCCTTGTCGTAGTGATAATAGTTGTTTTGCGGCCACCTCCTGGTGGAGTGGATGGTCGAATACACGTTGGAATTCTTGAATGAAAGCTTGAGAAGTTAGAGAATCAGGAGAATGGACAGTTAGAAACGCTTGGGCCCAACGGAGAGCTTTTCCCTTTAATGCTGAAACAATGTAAGTTATTTTAGCGTAATCATTCAGAAACAGAGATGGGGAGCGAGCGAAGGCCAAGTTGCATTGGAGCAAAAATCCCCCACATTGACTGATATTGCCTTCAAAATGTTCAGAAGGTCTCAGATCTGGTTCTCTGAATGGCAACACAGGACTTGAAGACAGGCTGGGAACAGAAGATGGAGTGGCAGGAATTAAGTTGATTATCTTGCTGTCTAAGGCAGCTACACTGTGAGAAACTTGATTTAAAGTGGCGGTGGTATTTTGTTGAAGTTGGTAAAGATGTTGATACATTTTATCAAGTTCAGCAAACTTACTCTCATAAACTTGTGTAGAGCTCGCAGTCTGAGTGTTGCCAGGTTTACCCACACATGTTGCTTGGCTGAAGCAAACTATCAAGTTTTAAACGAGGTCAATGTGGGTAAACCCAGAACAACAGCAGGCTCAGAAAAGTTTATAAAAATATGTTTATTTAAACCAGGGAAGGATGGGGTCAGGATCTGAAAGTGGTAAGAACGAGGATTAGTTTTCTGTGGAGCAGATTCGTCAGGTAAGTTGGAGTGCAATGTCTTCTTACAGGTGGGTGCAGAGTCTTCAGCTCTGAAGGTGAGTTTCCAGGTTCCAGGTGTATTTACAGGTGCAGGTGTACAGGTGAATATTTACAGGTTTGTGGAGGAGGCAGACAGGCAGCGTGCAGATGGTCTCAGGTGAGTTACTCTCAGATCTCAGGGAAGTGTTTCTCAGGAGGCTCAGGGAGTTCCACTCTGGAGGCAGGTAAATAAACAAACAAACATTAACAGGCACAGATAACCAAGGCTAAGTTCAGGCTGAGCTGCTTTTACCAAACATAAGCGTTGCTTCAGCGAAGTCCTGATCCACAGTGAATCCTTATAAAGCCAGTGAGCAGATGAGTCATCTGTAGCAGGTGAGTATGATTAGTGCTACCAACCAATCAGGGGAAAAAAAACAGCAGCAGCAGCAGCAGCTGAAATGCCTCAAAACATAAGTGTGATCACTAGACAAAATGTCACAAACACTTTTTTTCAGCCCAGCTCCAAGGTCTCAAATGTAGGTCAAAGTTAAAATGGTCTATGCTTGTCCAGATCATAACATTTGATCTGATCAAATAATGTAACAGAATATGATATAAATTTGTACCACTGTGTGTGTGCTTATGAGTGAGAGTGATTTTTTTTATGTGTATTTATTTTATTTTTCTCTAGGTTTCTGGAGAGCAGGGCGACCCTGAGCCAAAGAAGCCTAAGAGATCTGGAGAAATGTGTGCTTTTAACAAAGAGCTGGCTCATCTTGTAGCCATGTGTGACACTAACATGCCTTTTATTGGCCTCAGAGCAGAGGTTAGTCAGAAACTCTGGTAGTTTCACTCATCCGTTTGTGTATTCATTCATTGTGGAAAATACTGTTTTTTATTTTTTTCTTAAATCTTTTTTGAGCAGCTGTCAAACATGGAGATGGCAACTGAGGGAGTTCAAGTGGAGGGAGATGGCAGCAGTCATGCAATACAGTTACTAAAGTAATACACACACTGTCGCATGCTCAGTTTTAATTTTAAAATGATACACTGTTATAAAAAGCAACAAAACTGTTGTTACTATAGAGAATATTGGATGTATTTCCAGGATTCCTTCCTGTAAGGATGTAGGAGAGGAGACCAGAAGAGCTTTAGAGCAATCCCTCCTAGACTGCACCTTCCGCCTGCAGGGCAGGAACAACCGGACCTGGGTGGCTGAACTGGTGCTGGCCAACTGCCCCCTCAACAGCACGCACAGCAAAGAGCAAGGTACTTTTTGTTTACAAAAAAAAAAAAAAGATTTAGAAAAATAAAGCCAATTAATTTTTTTAGGATGTTCTATTCAGTTCAGTTCAGTTTATTTATATAGCACCAAATCACAACAAAGTTGTCTCAGGGCGCTTTGTTAAGACAGGAGCTGGCTGCGGGCCTCCGGACCCGGAAACCCGCCTCCAGCCCACATTGCTTCCCCCGGCAGTAAAAAGCAGAAGCAGTAACTCACACTAACAATAAATCAAGGAAACCTCAATTAAGTTTTATCAATTATATTAAATCAAGGCAGGAAAAGGTTAGAGTTTACAGCGCTGGCCTATTCGGGACAGTTTGACACGAGCAGCAACCGGAAGGGGGCGATGTCCCTTGTCATTACTGATTTATAGACTAGACTCCTTTGCAGAAGGGGAGCTCAACCTGTCAGTGTATGAGGGGGTGTGACTAAGTGTGATCTCAATGGATCTTGTGTGGTTGACGTGTACGGAAATATGAGACGGTGCTTCAAGCCTTTCTACGTGATGTGGCAAGCAGAAATAAACTATTCCTTGACGGATATTGAAACCCAGGGAGATGCTTTTTAGAGTTGCTGGCCCAGTTTAACCCAGTCAGAACCGGGTCATAATCTCATTATAATCCTGTCTCTGAGCAGATCAAAAACCCCAGGACCAGTCTAGATAAATATCTTAACACTTTACAGGAGCATTCACATACATAGAAAAGCCAATTAGTAAAGTTCTCTATCTAAGGAAGCAGCAGACTCATTGAATCGTCACTTTGTCGCAGTCTCCCATCCTGAGCAAACACAATGGCAATAGTGGAAAGGAAAAACTGCCTTTTAAAAGGAAGAAACCTCCAGCAGAACCAGGCTCAGGACAAGTGGTCATCTGCTTTGTCATTCCCCAATCTGTTACGTAACCTGAACCGTAGTGTTGCTCGTTTGCGCATGCACTAAAGGGAATACTTCCGGATCCCACGGATCGCCGTTGAATGTGCTAGATTAAGGAAAATGTACAGGTATATTACTGTTTATGAATAAAGACCGTCTTAATTTACTTAGAAAAGTGTGTGCTCTATCTCCGCCGATTTTTATGTTGCTTATTTACGTCACTCGTATTTCCGTTAAAATCATTGACATATTTACGTCATGGTTTAAATGATATACAGCTTCACCACTGAGCGGTGCTGTTTCACCACGGAAATAATTCATTCTGTATCTTGCAGGGTTTTGCTCATTGAGTCCAGGCTGGGGGTCAGGTCTAATGCGTCGCATATCATCTTAACCAATGATTTATAACGGAAATACGAGTGGCATAAATTAGCTAAATCAATATCAGTGAAGATAGAGCACGTACTTTTCTAAGGGTGCATTCACACCTGATAGTCCGGTAGACTCGGTTCGGTTGGGGACCAATATTCATGACATTTTGTTTACATTTGAGCTGGTGCGTTTGCATTCACACTGCACTGTGCAGTCGAGTCAACCTGTTGAACCAACCTATTTCCCCGCTCGCCTGAGGGGGCGCTGCACCAAGAACTACTGAAAGAAACGACACAAAAACCTCTGAAGACACTTCTTCTTCTGGAAATAAAAACGAAAACGGAGTGGCATCAAGTTTTAAGAGTTATATTTTGTCATTTTTCAAAAATGTACTAAGCATGAGCAGAAGATGAGGCAGAAGACCATGGAGAATGTTGTTTTTCACACAAGGCAGCTGACGGCTCCATATAAGGTAAGAGAAATGTGTGTTTGTTTTGCCATGCGCTGTACTCCACTTCTTGCTTGTGGAGCGGGGCCCGGTCTGTTTACATTCACACTGTACTCGAACCGCGCTGGAGTTCTCTTCTACCGGACCGAGACCTAGGTTTTAGCCTGGGCCAGAGTTCGCCTTTTTGTTCCGTGACAAAGTTCGATGGCACGTTCACACCTCCCCAAACGAACCGGACTTTCTAGGAAAACGAGCTAGAGTTCGATTAAAGCGGACTAAACAGGGCTGGTGTGAATGCACCCTTAGTAAATTAAGACGTTTTTTATTCATAAACAACGATGATCCGTGTGACCCGGCAGTACAATACTGATCGTGCTTCCGTAACAGATAGGGGAATGACATGCTTTGACTGGCTGAGGTTGAGAGGCCAGGGCGGGGAGATAACAAAATACAAAACAAGTAGAGTAAGTAAAGACAGTATTATAGGTCAGTTTGTCCTCCAGCAGTCTAAAGCCCCCAGTATATTCTCTCTACTGGGGGCTTAAGCCTATAGCAGCATAACTAAGGGCTAGCTCAGGAAACCCAAACCAACCCTAACTATATGATTTATCAAAAAGTAAAGTCTTAAAACTGGGCAATGTGTCAGCCTCACAGACAGAAACTGGAAGTTGGTTCCACAAGTGAGGAGCCTGATAATTGAAAGATCTTCCTCCCGTTCTGCTTTTGGAAACTCTAGGAACCGCAAGTAAACCTGCAGTCTGAGATCGCAGTGCTCTGTTAGGATATACAGTGCCTTGCGAAAGTATTCGGCCCCTTTGAACTTTTCAACCTTTTGACACATTTCAGGCTTCAAACATAAATATAAAATTTTAATTTTTTGTGAAGAATCAACAACAAGTAGGACGCAATCGTGGAGTGGAATGACATTTATTGGATGTGTCAAATTTATTATTTTTTTTTTTTCAGCAGCTCATCACCAGGTGCACCTGGTGATGAGCTGCTGAGGTCACATGAGAACTGTGCTGCGTAAGTAACATTGCAGGATACTGCTAAACAAAACGATTCAACTCGGGTAAAACAAGCCAATATATTACAATCAAGCAAAATATATATTGTTAACAATAACCTCTGCATATTGTTTCAATAAACCAAACTGGACGAGGAAACCTTGGACAGTCTGGAGAGTTACGTGGACGAGTGTTTTGAAAACATCGTGATGGGTAAACCACAAAAAAACATTGCATCCACGGCCACACCAACTCCTAAACGCATGTGTTCGGAGAGCTCAACCAGCACGTCCACCTCCCCAGAGAAAAGCTTCACTGATGTCCTGGGCTCTATAGACAAGAAGCTAACCAGCTTAGATGCCCAGCTGGTCCTGGTGGAGGTTCTCCACAAGGAGTTTCAAGCACTGAGGGAGTCTCTGGAGTTCAGCCAAGCTCAGGTGGCATCGCTCGCTGCAGAGAACCAAACTCTGAGGGGTAACGTTAAAGAACTCACCGAGAAGATGTCGCAGCTGTCCGGGGAAAACAGGAAAATGAAGGAGTCCATCCTTGATATTCAAGCTCGGAGCATGCGGGACAATCTTGTCTTTTCAGGGATCCCAGAACGAGCAGAGGAGGACGCTGAAGTTACGATCTGTGAGTTTATCCATCAGCTGAAACTCCTAAGTGAGACGGTAAAAAACATCATTTTCCATCGCGTTCACCGGCTCGGAGGTAAGAAGCCCGATAACAAGCGACCTCGGCCAATTATAGCTAAATTTGAGCACTATAAACAAAAAGGTCAGGGCAGAGAGCTGCGTGGGACGGACTTCAGTGTTAACGATCAATTTCCTAAAGAGATCCTCGATCGGAGGCGAGTTTTGTTTCCTATCAGGAAGAAATACATGTCTGAGGGCGTCAGAGCTACGGTGGCTGTTGATAAACTAAATTAATGGTCAGTTGTTCAGAGAACGGGACGTCACTCCGTGGCTTTATTAAAAGGAACAACAGGTTAGTTTGAAGCAGGGCTGTTCAACTGACGGCCCGTGGGCCAAGTCAGGCCCAGAGGTGAGCTAAGTTCGGTCCACCAGTGGGTTCACTCTTAAAACAAAACTAGAGTTTTAACTATAAAACAATGTAACTTAATGATAAGAACTAGTGGATATCTGACCCCTGGGCGCTTGGCTTTCAGTAACTGTGGCCCCCTGGGCAGTTTAGTTGAATAGTCCTGGTTTAACGCTTGTAACACTGGAGGTAAATTAACTGGCATTTGTAAATAAAATGTAAAGCACAGCTCGGTATGGTGTCTGCACTGGTGGTGGTGAACGGTGTCAAAGCTATTCTTTTTCTTGTTTGTTTGTTTGTTTATTTGTTTTTTGTTTTTTTGTTTTGTTTTTTTTTCCTCTTTTCCTTTTTATTTTATTTTTATTTTTTTATTTTTACTATTTTCTCTTTTACCTTTATCTGTTACCACATCACTTCATAAGTCTTTTTCTCATCTTTACCACTCAACAAACATTTACACACAAGCACACAAAAACACACGCACACACACTCGCACACACACCAGAGAACTTGATATCTTTCAACTTCTTTCACACCCAGCTTCTACTCAATATTCTTGTATCTTTCCACTTCAAACATCACTGTGTGTTTCTTAACATTTAAACAGGCAATCTCAAGTAATAACTCTGATTTTAGTTGGATCAGTTTGTCTCTATGGTGACATGCGCTGGTCAAATTTAGCTACTCATGCACAACTATGGGCACATTAAGGTTTGTGACTTGGAATGTCAATGGAACCAGTACTCAGCAAAAAAGATTTGGAATTTTAAACCGGCTTAAAAGACTACAGGCAGATGTTGTCTTTTTACAAGAGACTCATAAATCTATTACAACTGCAGATGATCTTAAATCACCTGACTTTCCTGATGTGTTTTGTGCCTGCTATAACTCAAGACAAAGAGTGGCAATATTAATACACAAAAATGTTAATTTTACAGTACTAGACACAGTTACAGACCCAGAGGGTAGATATTTAATAATAAAACTTTGTATAAATAACTACAAGCTGTGTATTGTCAGCATATATGCCCCAAATGTTGACACCTTTTTTTCATGATTTTTTCTCGGCATTGTCTGATCACTTGGATTGCTCACTTATACTTGGAGGTGACCTCAACTTTGGTCTAAATGAAGAATTAGACAGATGTAGTAGAGCAGGAACTCAGCGCAGTTTGCAATCCATAAATATAGTTAAACAGTACGTGAGTGATTACGGACTTTGAGATGCATGGCGATCTCTTCA